GAAGCAAAGTCTAGTCAGATGGTTAAAAATCTTTGGTTGGAGTAAGGTAGAACTGGTTTGAAAACCTTCACCTCTACAGCTCACTAGCTATGTGACCTTGGGTAAGGCCAAGGTTAACTTCCCTGAGCCTCTCTTTTTTCAAAATGAACAGAGGATAATTACCTAACATTTGTTGAGCATTTACTAAATGTCAAGACTGTTGAAAGTATATTAAGTGGATTCACTCAGATTTTCAGAATTCTACGTGATGAGTAAAATCATTATCCATATTTTACAGAGCGCAAACTGAGAGGATAAGTAAATTGTCTGAGTTTATACAGATGGGAAATATGGAGCTAGAATCAGAACTCATGGATAGCAACACCATTTCACAGCATTATTGTGAGGTTAAATAATCTATTATACATACATAGAAGTAAATATATAAGTTTAGCACAAAGGATGGAAGGAGATGTAAATTAAATTAGTTGACCCTTGAACAACACAGGGTTTGGGGCATTGACACCCCTGTGTAGTTGAAAAATCTACGCATAACTTTTGACTTCCCCCAAAATTAACCACTAATAGCCTACTGTTGACAGTAAGCCTTACTGATAACATAAACAGTTGATTAATGCATATTTTGTATTATATCCTGTATTTCTTACAATAAAGTAAGCTAGAGAAAAGAAAAATGTTATTAATAAAATCATAAGGATAATGAAGAGAAAATACATTCACAGCACAGTACTGTATTTATCAAAGAAAATCTGCATATAGGTGGACCTGCACAGTTCCAACCTGTGTTGTTCAAGGGTCAACTGAGTACTGCGTTTAGGTTCTTACATGATACATGAAATGGCATAATAGTAACTCACAATAGACTGAAAAATTAGGAATACATATTGTAATCCGTGGAATAATTACAAAAAATAAATTATAGACGTATATCATATCACAACATATATAGACATAACATAAAATAAAAATTTTTTTAAATGCTAATGGTGGAAATGAAATAATAGAAATGCTTGTTTAATACAAAAGAAAGCAGGAAAGAAAAGAACAAAGGAACAGAAAAATAGGAAACAGAAAACAAATAGGAAGATGGCAGAATTGAGCTTACTCAATTGGATAAACTAAAAAGACAGAGATCATCAAACCAGATTAAAAAAAAAGCAATACCCAATTACATGCTGCTTAAAGAGACATACTTTAAATGTGAAGACAGATTGGACATGTCAAAAGTAAAAAGGATAAGAGACCTAGTGTGGTTAATATCAAAGTAAACTTCGAGGAGTACCAAAAAAGGACTGCCAAAATGAAATACAGAAATTTTTGGATGATAAAAGACCCAATTTATCAAGAACACATAACAGTTCCAAATGAGTATGTATCTAATAATAAAGCTTCAAAAAACATGAAGGAAAAATGGACAGAACTAAAGGCAGAAATAGACAAATCTGCTATTATAGTTGGATATTACTCTTTGTATACTCTGTAATCTCCTGTGATCTTTGTAACTGATAAAATATGCAGGCCAAAAAACAAAGAGTCAGTAGAGATATGGAAAATTTGAACATTATCAGTGAACCAGATCTAACTGACATTTATCAGGCACTATATACAATAATTGCAAAATATACATTCTCCCAAATACAAATGGAGCATTCATCAATATAAGGCCCTATGTTGGGTCACAAAGCAAGTCTCAATAAATTTCAAAGAATAATCTAGTGCAAGTAATTACTACTCTGACATAAGAAATTTTCTAGCATCTTCTTCCCAGTCTAGCAATATTATTTGCTTATTAGGTTTTCAGAAATCTAAGTTTAGGATTCCACTCTTTTTTTTTTAACTTTTAAAAAATGTTTTATTTATTTCTGAGAGAGAGAGAGAGAGAGAGAGAAGCAGTGTGAGCAGGGGAGGGTCAGAGAGAGAGGGAGATACAGAATCTGAAGCAGGCTCCAGGCTCTGAGCTAGCTGTCAGCAGAGTCTGACGTGGGGCTTGAACCCACGAACCGTGAGATCATGACCTGAGCCAAAGTTGGACGCTTAACCGACTGAACCACCCAGGCACGCCTAGGATTCGGTTCTTTAATCCCCTAAACAATGGAGTTTTTTTAAATTGTTTTTGTTATTACTTTTTACATTCCAGAAGAGTTAACATACAGTCATATATTACTTTCAAGTGTACAGTATAGTGATTTAACACTTCCAGGGACTCATCACAACAAATGTACTCCTTAATCTCCATCATCTGTTTCACTCATCCCTCTATCCTTCTCCCCTCTGGTAACCACTAATTTGTTCTCTATAGTTAAGAGTCTGTTTCTTGGTTTGTCTCTTTTTTCTTAGTTCATTTGTTTTATTTCTTAAATTCCACTTATTAGTGAAGTCATATGGTATTTGTCTTTCTCTGACTTATTTCACTTAGTATTATTCCTTTTAGATCCATTCATGTTGTTGTAAATATCAAGAATTCATTCTTTTTATGGCTGAGTAATATTCCATTATATATATACACCACATCTTCTGTATCCATTCAGATGGACATTTGGGCTTCTTCCATAATTTGGCTATTGTAAATAATGCTGCAATAAACCTAGAGGTGCATATATCTTTTTCAATTAATGTTTTTGTATTTTTTGATTAAATACCTAGTGGTGGAATTACTGGATCATATGGTAGTTCTATCTTTAATTTTTTGAGGAACTGAGCAACGGGGTCATTTAAATAGAAAGAACGATATGAACTTGAATTTAGTCTGCCTTTTCCAGTGTTCTGAAGCTTTCTAGTCTCAGAAAATACAATCTTCCATCTGAAGCTTGACACCATATGATTTAAACTCCAGAACATCTGTTGCTTAAGATTCTCTAAAATAATCTTCGATACCACTGAAGACAATGAACTTCTGCAAAAGAGACTTCATTGATCAGGAATCCTTTCTTTAGAGTCCTTGTTAGTCAGCTTACTTCTGGGGTTGAAGGAAACGTTAATATCCACCTTGGAAACTTGAAAAAGATGTTCTTTTTTTTTTTAATGTTTTATTTATTTCTAGTAGAGAGAGAGAGACAGCGTGAGTAGGGGAGGGACAGAGAGAGAGGGAGTCACAGACTGAAACAGGCTCCAGGCTCTGAGCTGGCAGTCAGCACAGAACCCGACGCGGGGCTCGAACCCACGAACCGCGAGATCCTGACCTAAGTGAAAGTCGGACGCTTAACCGACTAAGCCACCCAGGCGCCCCTTGAAAAAGATGTTCTGTGTATGTGTGTTGTAGTGGGTATAAGTGTCTTAAGAAGCAGTTCTTAGACCTTAAATAAAGTTTTGAAAATATGATACAGCCAGAGCTCCTAAACTGGGGCCTGTTGGCCCTACTTACAGAATAACATGGGGCTCGAACTTACAACCCCAAGATCAAGAGTTGCATGCTTTATGGACTGAGCCCAGCTAAAGAAGTTCTAAACAGCAGAACTTCCTTCTGCTCAATACTTTTTCAGGGCCCATTTATTAATACCTTACAGAATAAAACTGGAGACACCAGTTGGAAAATACTGGCTTAGAAAGTTCACTTATTTGTCCTTCCATTTCAAATACGTACCAAACCTGCACCACTAGAAGAATCTGCTAGGTGCTATGGAAACTGTCATGGGGCTGAGAACTTCGGTCAAATGGAACCTAAGTGGGGACACAAGGCTCCAGTGCTATGGTTAAGAGTATGTTCATGATGTCAGCTGGGCCTAAATCTAGACCCAGCCTAGCGCATCTCTCACTAGCAATTGGACCTTGGGAAAAATCATAACATGTCTTTGAGCCTCGGTTTAGATTCCTCATCTGTAAAATGGAGTTAAGCAGGTTACTACTATCATGTGCAATTTTAAGATTCTTTTGAAATATATATTTTGAAATATATATACATATACATACATATATACATACACATATATATATATACATATACATACATACATATCTATCTACCTATCTACATATGTGTATATATATATATACATCTTCTAGCTTTACATTTGGGTTCATCTGGACCCTCCCTCCTACTTTCTAACTTCTAACTTTGACTCTCAGCCCCCCAGGCTCATTCTGCTTGAGCTCCAGTGGCTTTCTTCCTGTGCTTTGAATAAACCACACTCATTTCTAAAGTTCTTCGCACCTGTTGTTTCTTCTGCCAGGCAGTACTTTGCATCACTGCAGTTCTTTTGCTCACTCTTTCTGATTGTTAGATGTCAGCTCTCACACATTCCCTCCCCACAGGATTTTCATGATCATTTATCACACCTACATCCTCTTTCTATCCCCTTTCTCTTATCGTTTTAGTAGTATTTATTATCTAATACATGTCTAGTTTGCTTTTTTTTAAATCACTTCTCATTATAACTTGTTCAGGGTTATATCCCCTGGATACAGGACAGTGTCTAGCAGAAATATTACTTGTTAAATAAATAAATCAAATGGAACAAAATGGCGCGAAAGGGCGTACGCACAGAAATGGTACAGATTAAAACCTCATCAACATTAGTGATTACAGTTTTGTACACTTGTTATTAAAACATCTACATTTCTGAAGGGGAGATGTGTGCTTACATTTGCATGACAAATTGAGTAAAGAAAGTAGATGGTCTAGAACAATAGTCCCATATCAAAGGTAAGTTCAGATTCCAACCATGCAAAACAGAAAATCTCTCCACCCAAAAGCTTTACCAAAACTTCTTAGGTGGTTTTCCCCCTGGCAAAATGTGATATCTGTTAAAATGGCAGAAGGTTACAGTTAGGGAAGGCTGATGCAGACACGTGCTTCAAAGGGGAAAGTTATTTCTGCCTGGTACACATGGATGCTAGATCAGACTCTGATAGACAGGTAAAATGGAAGGGGTGGCTTGGCACATGATTGGACTGGGAAGGAAGCATTATAGGAGGAGGGTGCACCCCATGATTTCCATCAAAGCCACCAGAAACCATCTTCAATAGAACTTTTAGCTAAATAAGAGAACTGGACCTCTCTGCAGATCAGCAGCTTCGAGTGTATCCCGGATCACCGGATCACCACCCACCAGCTGTTCCTGACAGTTTTGGAGGCCCTACTGGATTTAGGTATGGAGGGAAGGTTACAACATGAATTTCATTTCCTACTCCTATATAAATGGTGGTAATTGAGGTTAAGGTTAGAATGCGGAGCCTTGCATGCCAGGAGAAGATCCTGTACCTTTAAGATCTCTAAGGCAATCAGTATGTGTCAAGTAGTTTGAGAGGAAAGAGACCAATTTGGGAAGGGCAGAGTGAAAGTTGTTTATAGTCCAGGCAAGACAGGCAATATAGGGTCTAGAATCAGGGGAGACACAACAGGAATAAAAAAAGGTTGGATAAGAGTTATGCAGGTCAGAGATTTCCAGTGGGGCTATGGGGGGCCAGAGGCGCCTCAATTTATGCTGGCAGGGGATTCATAGGGTTTGTTCAAATGCTTTCGGCCCATGGGATATGAACTTTTATGTGTCTCTTCAAAATAATAGCCTCTAGTGTCTACTGGCCTATCATGAAATAGAAATCATGAGGACACTGTATCTTTTAAAAAAATCCCCTTTTGTAGCACTTCCTTAAAAACAGTTATTTAATGCAACTCTGCCAGTGAGTTCTTGACAGTTCTGTCTTACAATTCTGATATTAATGAAACGTTTTTGCAAAAGGTTGAAGTGACTTCCTGGTAAGTATTTAGCTTCTGTTTTTCAAAATACCTGTGAAAACTTAAATTTCTCCTGTGGCCTAATGTTTCTCATTGATTGTTTCGATGCAAGAAATATCAAGCAATTGCAGTGATCAATAACATTTTCAATCCTTTTTCTTCCTTTTGGGTTTGCTACTTTTAATAGTTGTAATACTTGTGATAATTTTTTGTAATACTTTAGTCAAAGTCATTGAAGTATTTGATTCAAAGTACAACACTCATGTATTGCTTTGGTGCTTATCAGTTGAGGCATAATTAATTGAGAGTCATTTACTGGTTTTTAAAAATACATATATTGATAATATTTATCAGGGACCAGATCCCAGAGAGTGATTTATAGATTTTCTTTTTTTTTTTTAAGGTTTTGTTTAATCATTCTGCATTTCCCACATTGGAAAGCTGTCTTTTTCCCCTCCAGGTTTATTGGATATGATTGACATATAAGATTGTATAAATTTAAGGTGTAAAATGTGATTATTTGGCATATGTGTATACTATGAAATGATGACCATAGTAAGATTAGTTAACATTTCCATCACCTCACATAGTTACCTTTTTTATGACTTTTCTTCTCATGTTTTCTTTTAACTGACATAATGTAGTGATTTCAAAGAGCTGAATAGAATTCCAATGTTTGACATATTATATTGGTGTAATTATTATATTGATATTTGTATATAATAATAGTGTTAGATTATATTATCTCTTTCTATTCTTGAGTGTTAATGAGTAAGTTTACTATGTTTACAGGGTAAATGTTAACAACTTGTATAAACAGTTGCTTGTGCTAAATGAAATGATAAGCAATGTTGGACTCACCACATGCTTTTTCTTGTTATGTAGATTTGTTTGTGTTTAGTTCTATAGAATTTAAGAACATTTAACGTGGGTCTGTGTAATCATTGTATACATAAAACAAAATCTAACTTACAGGCATAAGAAAGTAGACCAGGGTTCCTATCCTAGGACTTTAGAAAGTCGTCGGATAGATTTCTTAGGGTAAATTTTATTTGTAATGTAAGTCCACAGTTTGTCAGCGAAAAAACCTATGTTTTACCAGATTCTCATTAGGCTATCTAACACCAGAAAGATTTAAAAACAACACTGTTATAAAAGGAGACCTATATTAAGATAATTTATATACTTTAATTCTTAGAATTTTGAAATATTGAAATACTTATATATTGAGTTATTTTCTATTCTCTTTTAAGTTAAGCCAGTTAGGTAATTAACTCTATTTAGCTATTTTAACATTTAAAAACTTCTAATGATAGAAAAGCAAAAACGAGTTTGTAGGAAATTATGTTCAGAAGAAATATGGGTACTCATTAAAAAGAATTCAGATGATACTTTTGGCTTATATTAGGTATTTTCAGAAAATGTTTTGGGTAAGATCCTTTCATTCAGACTTAAATGAAATAGACACTTAATTTTGTTTTTTAATTATTAATCTTTTTCAGAATCATTAACTCATTAATGAAGCATGGTAAGTTGGCATTTTAAAATCTTTGGATGATTTGGATGAGCATCCTCCATTTTGAAAATAAAGTATATGGTTCAGATTATAAGGGTGTGACATGGTTTGCAAGACAGTTTAATTTTTGGCCTTAGAGACATATTTTTGAAATTAAGAACATTCCATCTTTTTATTATTATTTTTTAATGCTCATTCATTTTTTTTGAGAGAGAGATAAAGCACGACAAGGGGAGGGGCAGAGAGAGAGGGAGACACAGAATCTGAAGCAGGCTACAGCACAGAGCCTGACATGGGGCATTCCATTTTTTAAGCTGTCAGCACAGAGCCTTATGAGAGGCTCAAACCCATGGAACCACGAGATCATGACCCGAGTCAAAGTCTGATGAAGAGCATTCCATTTTTAAACATAAATTCAGATTGTTAAAGATATACCCTTGCTCCCTTTTTCCAAATCTGTCTTCCGCTATATAACTCCTTACTAAAATTTTACAAGAATGTTAAATACTATACTATAGAATGAGTACTGTTCTCTAAATACTATATGTTATAGAGCAGTGGATTTCAACCAGGGTTGATTTTGTCCCCCAGGGTATATTTGGTGATGTCTGAGACCTTTTCAATTGTCACAACAATGAGAGTATTATTGGCATCTAGTGGGTAGAGGCCAGGGATATTGCTTGATATCCTACAATGCACAGGACAGCCCCCCACAGCAAAGACTTAGCAAATCTAACATGTCAATAGTGCTGTGGGTGAGAAACTCTGTAACAGAAAAATTTAGTTCAACTGATAATTTCAAAACTCAAGAGTTCTGCCTTTTCTCTAGCAGGCCTGTGTTGAACAAGACAAGCTGGGTCAAGCCTTTGAAGATGCTCTTGAGGTCCTGAGGCAACATTCAACTGGAGATCTTCCATACTCCCCAGGTAAAGATGTCAGTCCCCTTTTTTCACGGGGACACCAAATGGCTTGTTGGTCACACACACATAAGAATAATTATGAAAACAGAGAAGTCCATTTTTACCTAGTGCATCTAGGATTAATTCTAACAAAGACAGAAAGCTTTCAGGGTTACCTAGCTTAAGTAAATTCAAAGTGTCACATACAAAAATACAAAGAATGGAAATCTAGCACATATAATTATTTGCTATTACAGAAATCTGGTTGATATTTATCTAATCGATAATTAAAACTATTCAGAATGGGCTTTTCAGTTACTTTAATTTATCTTATAGACTTTCTATGCAAGAGATATTCTAATCAGAAGAATAAATATTCTTTTAAGAGTAAATATTCTTATTCTTCCTCACCCGTTGCCCTCTAGACTGTGGAAAAATAGTGTAGGTGAGATACAGATATTTTGCCTACTGAGTTTATGCAGGGTGTTGTGGTTAGTACCAAGATAAAAGAGATCATGGATCTCTGCTTGCAAGGGACACGTACTCTACTAAGGGAAAATGGGACACATCAAAGAGATTTCTGATACCAGCATAATGCAATAAATGTAGAGAAATGCAAAGTGATAGAGAACACATGATAAAGCAATCACACATAAGCATATATGCATATATAAACATGCACATGTGTGGAATCATAAACTTTGACTTTTTCAGTTTCTGTCTGTTTTTAAATTAGATTACAAAAATTATCTGGCATTCATCAACCACTGCTCTCATGTCAGAGGGAATTCCAACTGCTATGGTGTGCTACCTACAGAGGAACCTGTCTATAATTGGAGAACAGTAATAGTGAGTACATGTGCCAGGAGACCACTCACCCCACCCCCGGAAATAGGCAAATTCTCTATTCAGTCCAGCCTTCCACTTAGTGTATGGTAGCTAAAACCCAGCTTAGAGGCAGCAGTGACTGTGAGAACATTCACAGCCATCTGTGGTGTGAATCTGACAAGTCAACATGGGTGAGCCCTCAGCAATGCTATCAAAAGGAAACTGTCCTTCATCATTGTTCTTCACCCAGCATCAGAGGGTGTGAGTGACTTCTATAAAGATGTATTTTTAGGGTTATCTCATCACTCCTTCTCTTTAGTCCAACTGGAAAATTGCAAAAAGTCATGGTTCCCCTATAAGCCATAGGGCAAAGGCCAAACTTACCCTAAACTGGCTTTACCTACAATCTTCTATTGACCTCCTCTATTTTCTAAAGTTTTCTTTTTTAAATTATTTTTTAGAAGTTTATTTATTTTGAGGGAGAGAGAGCACAAGCAGGGCAGGGAAAGAGAGTGAGGGAGAGAGAGAACCCCGAACAGGCTCTGTGCTGTGGGCATGGAGCCTGATGCGGGGCTTGAACCTAGCAACCATGAGATCACGACCTGAGCTGAAACCAAGAGTCAGACACTTAATGAACTGAGGTAACCAGGCACCCTGACACCTTCTCTATTTTCCTTCAAGCTCGGAGCTAGCTACATGTCTCAGATCACTTTGGATATCATAGTAGTGTGTCCTGCAAATGAAGCGTCCCCATCATTTAGTTCTCCATTCATGTGTTCTTTTGTATTGTCTTCTTAATGACAGCGGTCTTAATGTGGTAGAGTGTAAACACATGATTTTCTTTTTCTTTTTCTCCCCATCATTCCCTTCATCCATGCTGTATATCAGATGTCCTTTGTCTGACCTTGTAAGTTCTGTCAGGGCCTCTCCATAAGACATTTCTTTGAAGGGGGAGTTTGAATTAACCCGTAGAGACCCATGTATCTTTGCCATATGTAATGGTAACAGTTCAGGCTGCTTCCTTCTGTCCCCTCTCTTGGCTCTGCCCTCACTTGGCTGACATCTTCCTCCCCGTGTCTCCTCTTGCCCAGCATCCAACAGAGGAATAGGAAGCCATCTTCCCTTTTTTGCTGACACTTCAGTATCTACTAATAATTCTACATTTTTCTTTCTGGCTGGGCATTTTTAGGGAGAAGGAAGGAAGCACCCCCTCTTTTTTCTCATAAGGAGGGGACCATATGAAAGTCTTCACAAAGCCAAAGACTACCTTCCATCCCATGGTCCTCTCTTTCTTTGGGTTTGAAGCTAATTCTGCCTTGGGAGATAACTGGCTGCAGTTGAAAACAGGGCTTGTTAGAATTTGGGAGATTCTTAGCACTCTTTTTGTCCCAGATTTTGGGACTTTAGTTGACTTTAGTCATCAACTGGGGGCCACATGGAAAGTCCCACTTAACATCTGTTGCATTATTTATATAGAACAGTTCTGCGGACCTCTATCTTGAAGGAAATATTCATCAATCTCTGCCAAACATCCCCGAAAACCAGCTGGTACAACCTGCTGTTCTCCATCAAAAGGGAGGAAAAGGTATGTGGATCCATCACTCCTTTTATAAGTAAAAGAACCAAATCTTCTTTAAAGGAGCTTTAAAGGGAGTTTAGAATTGCATTTGCAAAATATTCTCAAATTGTGATTAAGAATTTCTGTCTGACAGACTGAACCACTCCAAGCCATTCACCTTGGATGAGCCTTCCTATTGTTTCATAGAAAAGTTGTGAAGCTGCACTGTGTTGCTTCACTCAAATAAATCTGCATTCACAAATAATGTGTATATATTTGGGGTATATATAGAAGGAGGAACTTTTCCTTAAGTTGTTTTAACAATTTTATTCTAATTGTAAAGGCCTTGGTATAAAAGTTGTCGTCTTTATTCAGTTTTCTGCAAATGACATTCCATAATAATTCAATATTTCATAAATTTGAAATCTTGATTTCATAAATTTAAGATGATGATGATCTCACCTAACAGATGGGCAGAGTGTTAAAGCAGGATAGTAGCCTCTGAAGGCTATGATGCAGGCCACACACATGCACATGTGCTATTGGAGGCAGTGTAGACTGATTGGTATAGACTTTTATAAGTCATTTTGGCAATAACAATCCAAAACTTAAATGTTCATATCTTTTGACTCTTAGGGACTATATAACTCAGTGATTGAATGTAAACTCTGGGTCAATTGTGTGAGCCTGGGAAAGTCATTCAACCTTTTGTACCACAGTTTCTTCATTCAAAAAGCAAATAGTGGTAATTGTACAAATAAATCATGGTAAGATTTCTGTAAAAATCAAATGAAAGCCTATGTAAAGCATTAAGCTCATAGCCTGGCGCTGGGTAATTTCTCAAGATACCATAGGTGTATGTGTGTGTGCGTGTGTGTGTTATATGCATTAGGATGTTCCTTGCAAGGTTGTTTGTTGTAGTAAGAGAATGGAGCTTACCTACTGCATTTATCTGTGTATAAGAGACAGATATTTAAGATGTACTATAATTTCATAATGAAATTTTAAAAAATGTTTTATCATAGTTAATAAATTATTTTAAATGAGTTTTGGGGGAAACTAGTTTTGTTTCTATATCTCTATACTGTACCCTATATCCTAGAATAAAATTCTAAATATTCAGTAATAATCTAATCCAGCAAAGAATAATGCATAAAATCATACAGAAAAAATAAATCTGTATCACTGAATATTGGTTTTGGATATTGAACCATGGTAGTAATTTAATATAAGGAGAATTACACTTCTACCTCTGTACAGGTGTTTAGCTGGTCACTATTCTTTTTTAAAACTAACTCACACCAGGGTGTAAAGGCTATGTCTTTCCATGGATATTTTATGTTGTGGAGCTTTGCCATTGTGGGACAAATTGCTCACCACCTTCTGTTTTTAAAGTTTCATCTTCCACCTGAAATAGGGATACATTTGAAACAGAATGAAATCTCATAATAATCTGGGCATTTATTATCCAGAGAAAAATAGTACATACATAAAACACAACACATAGCTATTAAAAGGCATGCATGTGTTGATAAAGAACTCTAAAAAGAAATAATGCACATGATTAAAAGTTCAAAGGATTTAGAAATACATAAAGAATAAGTAGAAGTGTTCCTTCTTTCTTGCCATGCTATATCCTGGGAAGTAGCCATTGTCAACAGTTGGGTATTTTATCCATCTGTAGCTAATTTCCATATTATTATCTAACATAATATAAAATGTATAACATTGGAAAAGGGCAAAATACTTTGATGCTATTTGTATTTTTAAAAGATATGTGTATGTTTATATGCAAACTTTTTTTAATTTAAAAACTGTAGAACAGACTGGAATTTTACTTTGATTTTGTACTTCATTTTTTTTCCACTTTGTCCTTCCATTTGAATCTTTTACTATGAACACAATACATTTTTAACAAAAATTTAAACTTTTTTTAAAATTGAAAACAAGTTAAGAGACGAGCATCCATTATCATTGATTTGACCATTCGATAAGAGACAGTTTGTTTAAGCCTGTGACTTTAATTCATGATGTGTGTTTGGTAAGTCCCTTTCATTTCTCAATTTTTAAATTCAAGATAATATAATGCAAAAAAATAATCTTCTTAAAAACCTTTGAGGTTTTGGGATGAATGATGACTGATATAAGAGTATTACTCCCGAGAGACTATTCAAAGCAGTTTGGAAATCCACTATTTAACTCTCTCTAGAGGAAAAGGGAATTTGGCCATGGCTATCTTAGCTACTGACAGATCTGGGTGAGGCATGGTATTTACAAGCCAATTCAGAAGTCACAAAATGGACTGTCCGCTTTGTTCTCTCTTAGGCCAAAGAGATCCAATCAACAGAATAAAAATCACAACAAATCTTCCTATAGTTTCCTGTCTAGAATTCTGAAATATAAAGGGCTGTGTTCTTAAAGAGACAAAAATTCTGGTAGTACCATTTTATTTCACAGCAACGAAAAACATCATGATGCCGATTGTCATTGCTCATAAATTATGTCCAAATGTCATGAAGATATTTTGGCATTTTCTTTATTTTTCAAGCAACTGTGCAGACCCAGAGTTTTGGGGTTTTTTTAACCTAAGTCTTTGTTATTAATTTCACTAATGTTACTTTATATTTGAATACTGTTTTGCATTTTATAAAATACATTCACATTCCTTACCTCATTTGACTTACCTCATTTGAATAAAGCCCTTTCAAATGATTTGCTTTCTGAAAATGGCTTCTGAGGCTTCTCTTTAAAGCCACTAAATTTTTCAGTTCATTTTGCTCAGTTTTGTTGTTCTATAGAAAGTTTAACATATGACAAAACCAGTAGTCAAGATTTAAGTGAAGAAAAACCACATGACAGATGAGAGACTTGGGTCAAGAGACTCCAGGCTTCCCTTTTCCAGTAAAGGACAATGTAAAATTTTTTACAACATCCTCAATAAAGAGAGGTCCAGTTGAAACTTCAGTAAGACAAACAGACCTTTGACTTTCAAGACCCAATGCAGCTTTGAATTTTATAGTCATTCAACAAACCTTTTCTGAGTATGTTCTTTGTGTATGGCCATGGTGAAGTATGATATTTGTTCTCCATTTTAGGCAGAAAGAAGCTCCGACTGTTCGAATACCTTCATGAATCCCTGTGTAATCCTGAAATGGCATCTTGTATTCAGTGGGTAGATAAAACCAAAGGCATCTTTCAGTTTATGTCAAAAAACAAAGAAAAACTCGCCCAACTTTGGGGGAAAAGAAAAGGCAACCGGAAGACCATGACTTACCAGAAAATGGCCAGAGCACTGAGGAATTATGGAAGAACTGGGGAAATCACCAAAATCCGGAGAAAACTAACTTACCAGTTCAGTGAAGCTATTCTCCAAAGACTCTCACCATCTTATTTCTTAGAAAAAGAGATTTTCTACTCACCGTATGTTCAGACAGAGCAAGGCTTTCTCAGCTTCAGTAACTGGAATGCAAATTATAATTGTACATATGCTGATTACCATGAGCTAAGGCACCCTGACTGCTAAATATTCTCATACATTTCATGATTTTCTGACATCAGAAATCCCTACCAATTGCAGGATTTTTCTCTTAAAGCAAACAATGAAGAGGAAAAAAACAATTAACTTAATTGTTTCTATCTTTTATTAAATAGCATATAATCTCTACAGATTTGGTGAAAAAAATCTGCCAGCAAACAACTTTTAAATCAAGTCCCACTTGAAAGCATAGACTAAATGTTCTTGCTCTTACTGTTGTCTATGCAATTCTTCTAAGTAAACAACGCTGGTAGGGATGATTTGGCTCTTGATTTAAACACTGTTTTCCTGTCATACACTCAGGCCAAAAAAGAAAAATCACTCCTAATATATATCTGATGGCTTTAGTGACAAAATAAAATAATTGCATATGATAGTCTTCATGCTAAAATACACTCATGGCTTTAAAAACTATATTTTCTGTGCACTTCATACCTCATGGTCTGTAATCCTGTGGCGCTAAAGAAATGATCTAAGGAAAATGCCACAAACCTTAATGATACTAGAACACCAAATCTTACACTTCCCACAAATCATTTCCTGGCATTTTTCCCCTAGGGTAGATCCGGAAGCTAACATTTCTTGCTATCCTGCCACTCAGCCACAAGAAGGTGCTCTTGTCTTGTTATCTCTCTGGATCAACTTTGCAACATGACCTCTTTGAACTAGCCCAGCTAAGTAAGACCAGACTGGAACAATTGGAAAAAAAGAAAAGAGAAAGACTTTGATAAAGAATAGAGACTAGCAATACAGGGAGGAACCAGGATTTAGATAGTCTGACTTGAAAGCTATGGTTTATTCTCAAGATCCCATCAAGAATGAAGAAGAGAGAAAGCCTGGGAAGAAACCTTGTTTCTTACTTCCTGTTTGGCCAGTTCATACATACATATCTGTATTACCATGACACAGGCGAGCTTCGTAGACTACATGGGCCATCTTCAGTCCAGGCCAAGAGGGCCCAGCTGGGAGGCCTAGAGCTCCCAGAAGCCTATCCTATTTGATTTGCCACATTTCCCTTTTTTCCTTTGTGTCCTCCTGGTGTCTTTCATCCCTCAGGGATTCTTAAGAAAGAATATGGCAGGGGCGCCTGAGTGGCTCAGTCGGTTAAGTATATGACTTTGGCTCAGGTTATGATCTCGTGGTTCCTGGGTTAGAGCCCCGTGTCAGGCTCTGTGCTGACAGCTCCGAACTTGGAGCCTGCTTCAGATTCTGTGTCTCCCTCTCTCTCTGCCCCTCCCCAGCTCACTCTCTGTCTCTCAAAAATGAATAAATGTTAAAATAAAAAAAAAAAAGAACATGGCAGACCCAGAGTGATTAAATGAAGGCTAACGATATTGGCCATCTTCACATGTAGTCTGGGCTTTTGTTATAAGTGACTGTGTATGTCATTCCTAAAATCATATGAAACCCAATCCTAATGGTATTTGGAGGCGGGTCTTTGGAAGGTAATTAGGTCAGAGGGTGGGGCTCACAGAAATGGGATTAGTGCCTTATAAAAGAGGTTCAGAGAGCTCCCTTACTCCTGTGGCCTTATGAGGACACAACAAGAAATGGCCTCCCATGAACCAGAGAGCAGTCTTTCACTAGACTTTGAATGTGCTGGCACCTTGATCTTGGACTTCCCAGCTTCTTGAACTGTGAGAAATAAATTTCTGTTTGTAAGCCACCCAGATTATGGTATTCTATCATAGCAGCCCAAATGGACTAAAAGAGTTTAACCAGTGCTAACCTTAAAGGTAAGACCCATCATTTATGCTCATTCTCCTAGGAAGAAATATGCTCTATAAATTAATAAAAAACATATTTTACCAGAGATTGCAAAGAGGAAATGGTAAAGAGGTTTTACCACACAGATCTATTAGCCAATAACTTAAGATTCCATCAACATTTTACTTCTCTCCGTAGTCCCTCCTACACCCAATGCCAACTTTAGGGGTTCATCTTGATGATTCTCCCAGAAGTCTCCAGTCAGTTCCAGTTGTGTTCTGTACTGTTCTACAAAGTGGATTTGTCTTGGGCAGAAACCTGAGTTCTGTCTTTACCCAAAGTGAGCTGAATGGCCCAAAGACCATTTTTACAAGCAGGTCCCTTATGAAGACATGCTCATTCTAGTTGCTCAAAGACTAAAACCCCCATATATTGTGTTAAATGTGCCCTATTTCAAACAGGGTACCATTCCTTACCATCACCGAAGGTCAGAGAAGAGAGACCTGTTAGCCTCCATTCATGGTCCTTCATTTCCTGGTATGTGGTATCCCATCCTTCATCTTGTCACTGTCACCTGGTTGAATGGCTCAGAAAATTCTTCTCCAGTGAGAAGGTGCCCAGTGCTAAGTGAAACAGGCATGGTCCCCTCTGTCATGAAGCTTCAATTCTATCAATATTTAATTATAGATTTATTATTTTTTAAATGTTTTATTTATTTCTAGGAGAGAGAGAAAGAGACAGTGAGCAGGGGAGGGTCAGAGAGAGAGGGAGTCACAGACCGAAACAGGCTCCAGGCTCTGAGCTGGCAGTCAGCACAGAGCCCGACGCGGGGCTCGAACCCACGAACCGCGAGATCATGACCTAAGCAAAAGTCGGACGCTTAACCGACTAAGCCACCCAGGTGCCCCTATAGATTTATAAGTTCTATTAATATTTAATCAACACTTCCCTAATGGCTGACTGATGAGTAATTTATTTGTTGATTTGGCACACATATATTGTAAAGTATGTAAAGTGCATTAATGTGGCAGCATTAATTATATCTAACTGAATAGATTGATGCATACACCCACTTAGCCGTCCTCTAGATTAAGATACAGAACACTTCCAGCATCTCATAAGTTTCTCTCACTTCCCCTCCCAAGATACACCCACCTTCTTGAACATCATATAAATGGAATCATACAGTTTGTACTCTTTTGCATTTGCCTTTATTTCCCTCAATATAATATTTAACAAGTTCGTCAATGTTGCTGGGTGTAAAAAGAATTTGTTTTTTTTTCATTGTTTTTCAGCTCCTGATATTTATTTTATTTATTATTTTTTAAAAATGTATTTATTTTGAAAGAGAGGGAGTGAGAGAGAGAGAGAAAATGAGTGGGGGAGGGGCAGAGAGAGAAGGGGACAGAGGATCTAAAGTGGGCCCTGTGCTGACAGTCAGATGTAGGGCTTGAACTCACAGACCATGAGATCATGACCCCAGGTGAAGTCAGATGCTTAACTGGCTGAGCCACCCAGGCACCCCTTTACCTCCTGATTTTTAAAGGACAGTGCCTGAAATCTCTTCTTTATCTATAGACTTTATAATATAAAATGGATGCTAGGTATTCTCATACTCACATGGATAGTGTCCATTTATTATCGAACATTGATACCTGTCCTCTAAAGAGTTGCAATGATGTATGCCTTCCTATAACCACATTCTTTTAAATGTTTATTTTTGAGAGACAGAAAGAGACAGAGCATAAGCACGGAAGGGGAAGAGAGAGACACACAGAATCTGAAGCAGGCTCCAGGCTCTACACTGTCAGCACAGAGCTTGACACAGGGCATGAACCCATAAACCGTGAGTTCATGACCTGAGCCAAAATCAGCCGCTTAACTCAGCCAAAATCATGACTGAGCCACTCATGCACCCCCATACAACCAGAATTTAAATTTATATTTAGATATTTTGGTTCATATAGTTTTATCCAACTCATATAATCTGGATGAAATTTGATTTTGTATTTTGATGGTACAGCTTCTGATAATGAAGATATTAATGTAAAATAGGTTTTACTCCTTTTTCATGGATGGATGAAAGTTAATGAAAACATTTTTAACAACTAAAATGAACCATCTTTCTTCAATTTGCTGCCCCTCCCCCAATCAAAGCGGAGGATACCGTATGTTTGCCTTTGCAATATGGTGAAAAATTATTTTGAATTTGATGGACAGCTGTTTTTGTAATTTAAGCCTGGATGGATTTCAAGAGCAGTGGGTAGACAGTAGGAAGAAAATGGGTTGCAAGTTAGGGATTGTGTGTACTTTGTCAGGGGAGAACAGTGAGGCATCCCATAAATGTGTAAAACGGACACCTCAGGGACTGTCTGTCAGGAGTAGCCTTGACTTACCTAGGCCATGAACTAGTTAAATAAAGGACTAAACATGGAAGAAGAATCTAGACAAGTAGATTTTTTCAGTGGGCCCCAGGATCAGAAATCCAAATATAGAGAGCAGCACATGAATGTTACAATGGTGATCTGATGAGTCAGCCATTGGTGTCAAAGAAGTTGATGTAGTTCAAATATGAGAAATTTGCAAATTGTGCACGAACAAAGCTTTGTACAATGTTTGGATCTGCTATCAGAGATAGCTTTATTCCAGACAGCTGTGGAAGCTAGTGAAGATTCTCTTTGATAAGCACATTCAACCAGGATTTGTGGTGGAGGATTAGTCAACAAAAGGCCAGCGAGTTCATACGCAGTTTAAGTGAACAAACAGAATTTCCCATAAAAAATATTTTTATGATATAGGTGAACAAATAAAATTTTCTAACAATCATGCTTTACATAAGCAGTTAAATTACAGCAAGTCATGTGTTCAAAGATCATATTTACAAGTTTTAGAGTCTCTTGGATTCTTTGGAGTCTCTTGTTATCTCTTGGAACACTTTGTTTCATATCATTAACTCTTAGTATAAGCAGGGAGATCCATTGGGACACTCTGGGATTCAAGTATCAAAAAACCCTGACTCAACCTGGTTTAAATGATAGGAAAATTTACTATCTCACAGAACAAGAAGTCCAAAGAAAGAGTGGGTCACTACTCTGATGCATTATTGTTCTGATTTCATTTTCTGGTGAGTCTTTTGTTTCCCTTTCTTGTCATTGGCTTATCCTCAGGTTTGCTTTTGCTAAGAGTAAAAAAACAACTGCAGGTCCAGCTATATCTCAGCACAGCAAAGTCCAGCAACAGGGAGGGCCATTTCTTCCAGGGTCCTCTTTACAGTCAGGGGG